CGGTTTTTCACGTATCCATCCATCAATTACTCTCTCCCATATTTTGAAGGTGTGACTAAGTACATAGTTTTATGGGCCTGTATATTGTACACTGTTATATCGCTTTTGTCTATGCTGGTTTTTCATTTATCTGGCATTTGCCACATGTCTATAATTTTATTTAAAAAACCTATTCCTATTTTCTTGACAACGTTTTTTCTTATTGCCAACTGTCATGGTCAAAGTGTACTATTTTCCCCTGACGAAGGCCTGTTCTTGTTAAACAAAGGCTAGTTTTATTTTCAGGACATTTCCCAATGTCTGCTTCTCAAAACTTTAGTATTTTAACTTAAGAGTACGTTATGTATCTTAATTTTGTTTTACCCCAATATTTCTGCATCATCGAGTCGCGTTATCGATCATATTTGTATTGTTTCTTAAATATAATTTTAACTTTACTGTATTGTATACCTACTGATTATTTTATTTTACTGTATACTGATTTTTCCAAAATATTCCTGTAGTGCAGTGTAATGTAGTGACTAAAATCTGTTAAAAGGGGCAATATATTTTTAATATCTTCCCATTCACAGCTGCTTTGTGTTTAGTTTTCGATGTTTATATACACTATATTGTACGTTATTCCAGAATTAAATGCATAACAATAAATTCTATTCGGGGCTTAAAGTTTCTGAAGTACCTAGAATACAAAATCTTCCATTGTTACTTTGTTTTTTTTTTGGAGATATCTTTGTGGCGATTGTAAATTAATAGTCCAGGCAGGATCTTTCGAAAAGCAGACCATAATGGAAATTTTTCATAGGAGTCTATTTTTTGCTGAAATCATTTCAAAACGTACAGTTGCGGTCACGGAATAGTTTACACCTTACTTTTTATATTGTAATACTGTAAAATTGCAGTGTCGTACGGATTTGATAAATGTCAAAGTCAAAAAATTTCAAAACGTCAATGCTTTCGCGAGTGTTCAACAATAAAATAAAAGTATATTAAACTCTTCCAAAATGGTTAGAATACATTTGAATTATGCGCAAAAAGCAAGAGCAATTGCCAAACTCGAAGAAGGTTGGTCACTAAGCAAGTTGCTGCTGATTTGAACGTGAGTCATATGTGCATATGGAAGATTAAACAAAGATGGGATAATTTTCACTCTATAGCACGGTTGGGCGGTTCAGGAGGGCAGAAGATTTCCACAGATCAACAGGATGAGATGTTAGTAGATTATTTGAGAGAATCTCTTTTGCCACAGCTCAAAAGGCAAGAGAAGAGGCAGCGTTTCCAGGCAGTATTCGCACTGCACGTCGAAGAATTAAAGCAAGTGGACTGCTAAATTGTGTAGCTGCACGGAAACCTTTTTTGACTGAGGATCACAAGAGGAGACGAGTTGAATTTTGTAATGAATTTATAAACCGCGATGAGAATTTTTGGTCTAGGGTTGTATTTTCCGATGAAAAAGTATTTCAGTCGTATAATAATGGTCGAATAAGAGTTTATAGGCCGAGAAATCATAGGTATGATGAACAGTATACGCATCATTTAAGAAATAGTGGAGGATTCTCTGTCAACGTATGGGGATGGATAAGTGCCGAAGGCCCGGGCGTTTGTTATCATGTAGAGGAGAAGTTAACAAGATTATATTACAAACATATTATTGAGCACACAATGTTGCCATCGGTGATCCAGAGATTCCCCAACAACGACTTTATCTTCCAACATGACAATTGCCCGGTGCATACGAGTAGAATTGTTCGAGAATGGCTAGAAGAAACTGATGTTAATGTTCTTCCGTGGCCTTCCCGTAGTGCAGACTTTAACCCCGTCGAAAATTTGTGGGCAGAGTTAACAAAGAAACTAAATGAAAGAAACCTTAGACCACGGAATAGAATTGAATTATGGGAAGCAATTGAGCAGGCATGGGAAGAGCTTGTTAACTATAACATGAGGGGATTGGTGCTATCTATGAACAGAAGACTGCAAAATTGTATTGACAAGAATGGGGCTTCCACCAAATATTAATTATTATTTATCATTGTTTATCGTTATTTAATATAAAATAGATTTAAAATAAAATGCATATTAAAAAAAAGACTTCTTTATTTTCGTTATTAAGATCATAATCCATTTTATTCAAAAAACTGTTTTCTATATTTTTCATTTTGTAAAATATTTTGATATTTTAATTTGAATCTACCTATTCTAGCTAGTACACCACTGGCAACGTTACTTTGACGTAAAAGGTGCGTTTAAACGAAGTAAAAATTTAAAAAATGGGCTCCTAGATACGTGAACCTGTAAACTATTCCGTGACCGCAACTGTACCTTATATCAATAATGGCAATATGCGCACATGCACATGCGCAATAACAAAACTTTTAAGATGTAAGATTTAATAAAATCTAAAAACAGTTGAAAATGTTTGCTTTTTGCATCTATATTTTTACGCATAACTCTAGAAACTTCAATTTTTAAAAAAATGCGTTTGAAAGGTTGAGTCTTTCCTTATATAAAAAATATTTTGAATATCTAACGTGCTTATTTTGGGCCCTGTATGATTTTGCAAATTTGATCGTAACAAAATTTAGAGTGAAGTCATATATTATAAAATTCTAGGCAGCGTATGAAGGTATGTGTCGAAGGAGTTGAAAAAATTTATAGAAAAAATCTCTATTTTTTGTACTTTTTTCCTGATTATTGCTATTTTTTAAACAGTAAACATTAAATTTTTGATTTGTGGCTAATCAAATATTACGTAATATTACAAAGAGAAACTTTGATTCTAGGAGTCTTTTTTTGTAGAAGCAAGATTGTCTCATACATTTTCGATTTTTTCAGATTTTGATATAAAAATATGTTGTTATATTTGATCTAAAAAATTAAGCATAAGGTTTGCAACTGACGAATATCGCCAGTATAAGCGACTATATAAGGTACAGCGTGAAGTGATTTCAGCAAAAAAAAAATAGATTCGTATGGAAAATGTTTCACTTTTCAAAATTCAAAAACAATTCAAAACAGACATTACCTGGACTATATTTTGAATATTGAATCTGTTGTTTTCTAACTTTAAACAAATGGCATATTATGTGGTTTCTAATATTGAATAACCAAATTCTATAAAACTCTTGACGTATCATCTTTTTTAGAATAGTAATATTATAAAATATAGACATTATCATTTACCACGTCATACTCGCGTTTAACTGCCTTCAACGCCAAAGCAAGTTTCATGAAATAAAACAAAATTATCATAACATCATAGTATTTATTTTCTTAGCGGATTCCTCGCAAATTAGTATTCGCGAATTGGCTTATATCGTTCTTTATTAATATTTTCAAAAAGTTATTTTTAAAGCATCTGTGCGAGATGGAATCTAACATAAATATAATGGAAACTTTAACATGTGGCTTTGAAAAGCGTCAGTTGACGCTTCAGATTTGTTTATATTTTAAAATTTTACAAATAATAATTATTTTCTTTTTTACTGTGACGTATTAAACTTTTTGTGACATGTATATTACGTACTTTGACTTATTTCAGGTATTTTTAATTTATTAATATCTGAAATAGTTTCTTAATTAAATTAATTAAATAATTAAAGGGACAAGAATATTTTTAGATAGTATAATGGACTGGCATATAAAGTATTGTAAAACGTATTGTACAGAAGCTTGATCCTCTATGCTAAACAAATAGTTGAGACCAGTGCGGTTTTCGACCCAATAAATCAACCGATGAAATCTTCACAGTCAGGCAGATTCTTGAGAAAACGCTTGAGTTCGGAGTCGACACCTACCTCATATTCGTGGATTTCAAAGCCGCATACGACTCAGTTAACAGACAAAATCTTCTACAGGCTATGGTGTAATTTTAAATGCCGCTTCATCTTGTTCAATTAACGAAACTTAATAGTTAACGTAATGAAATCTTGTTCAACTAACTTCTCCCATAATGGACTTACAATTATGTTTACACTAAAACTTACATTCGGTGCTTTTTAACGTTTTAAAGAAACATCTTACTACCCAATTGGATGAAACACCACCAGAAAAAGAATGTATTTTAATACAATAAAATCTGATAAGATCTTTGAAGTGATAAAGTTTATACACTTGAGAACAATTGAGATTTATTTACAAAATTTATTCTGAAAAAATATACCAGCAATCAAGAATAACCGATTGTGCAAACAATGTTGCTAGAAGCATCACAAATTCAAGGAAGTCGAGTTAGACAAGGCAATTATCAAATTAGATGATAACAAAATGAATAGGAATAGATTTTAATAATTTGCCTTTTCTGGCTATAACTGTATCTATTCTAGGAAACAAATTTATCTGAAATAAATATATTTACGAACTTATTACCGAAACCGTATTTCAAAAGTGTGGAAAAAGAATATAAGTTAGTAAAGTATTTTAAGACATAATAAAGTTATTGACTAGCTATTGAATGAAAGTCAAGCATATATATTTACTTATATTACCTTTGATAGATCTCAATACTTGACAGACATAAGTCTCCTCTTGATTTCTTCATATTCTCTGGAAGACTTTCTTAGTAATTTTGACATTGTTTGTAATTATTTTTCGAAAGCTTTTGATGTATTGGCGGTTGTTTTTCTTGATAATGTTTAAGTAATATTCTTGTGCTATTACTATTAGTTCGTTTATGCCAAATATATGTGTCTATGCAAATTTCTATTCAGCAGCAGTTTTTGATGACGTATTTTTTTAAGCTTTTTTACATGCTTTATTGCATTGGTTAGTAAGATCTTTTTTTGTTTCTTGTACAAAAAATAATGAAACATTTCAAAAATCAAAATAGGAAATTGGGGTTTTGACATTTTATATACCTAATGGCCACTACTTCGTTAGGTATATATATATATATATATATATAATATATATATATATATATATATATATATATTCTCACTTTTTTATTTTTAAAATTGTACTATTAGTTCAGGTTAATCTATTTACTGTTTTTTTGCTTGTTGCAGATGCCACAAACTGTACCATCAGCAGGGTTTACTCCCCCGTGCGATTACAGTAACTTTGCCGATAACTTTGACTTATCGCTTTTGCCTGGAGGTGATCAGCCAGTCTCGCCGTCTACTCAATTCTACCCTCAAAGTTACGAAACAGAAAAGCTACTTCAACCAAAAATATTAACAAGTTTTTATCCATCGCCGCCATCAGATCCGGAATCAGATTTGGAACAGTTAGCTCCCGATTTTTCGACTTTATTGGTACCGACTGAGACGAAGAAATACTCTGGAAATATTTACTTGGAGGTTCCAAGTCCATACTCACCGATTTCACAAGGACTTTTATCTCCAAACGACCAGTTTTCGAGCTATAGAGAAACCAATTATTATCCAAGTTCCCCGGAACAATCTATATATACGCCTTCTCCTAGTTCTGTTTATTCTACATCACCTTGCAGTGAAGAATATTTACAAAAACACTACATAAAAAAAGAAACCTCACCTGTGCCCAACTTTGCCCAATTTACTGTAAAAGAAGAATCTTTTCTCTTGCCAACAAGTCCTGCCTCATACAATTCTAATTCTTCTGATAACGTTTGCATACAACTTGATGATTCGAATGTTCTCGATCTTCTCAATACAGTAGAAATTCAAAAAGAAATTAAAAAAGAATCCACGGATACTTTTAGTAGTTTTCAACGGAATCAAACCCTCAGACAATTATTGGAAAAAGATTCTAAAAGTTCAGAATCACAAACTGTACCAGAACAACCTAAGGACCACCTCTTGCTAAGAGAGGCTTTGAGGGATACAAGCTTTCAGAAAAAGTTTAATATAAGACCTATCGATTTTGGTTTTTTGGAAACGGATATTAAGATGGAGGAGCCTGAACAAGACGATCTAATGAGAACATGCAACGAGGAAATGGTTAATGGAAATATAGAACCTGTCTTAAATATGGCTATTGAACAAATGAGAAAAGATGTGGATAATACTTGTGCCACTCTTGGAATTTCAGCAGGTAAGTCGCATTGCTATCTTGTTTCAAAACCGTAGTATGAAATGGTGAGAAAAATTATTTGTCTAATGAAAGTGCATAGAAAATTTCACAATGAAACAAAATATTTTTCTTCAGTTATTTATAGGTGGGTATATTAAAAATTATATAAAACAAATAAGATCATGTAGGGAAGCAAGCATTTTAGACAATAAATTAGAGCAGTAAAAAAATAACTATTAACCATTCACATTGAAAAGACATAAAAAACAGTGTTAATCGACAAAAAGGAATTAATACTATGATAAGTGTTACTGACTGTTAACGGAAAAATAAGAAGGAAGATTTTAAACATTTTACGATCACAAGTAAAGTATCCTCCGGCAATAGAAAAAAATATAAAATCATGATACCACTATTTCCTGGCACATGATCATCAGATGCTTTGTTTGATCACAAAAATTGTTATGTGTATGGGTATTCCGCTCCTAACCAACAGAAAGTGGCATACATTTGCTCAGTACACAATAAAGGTTGTCATAAAAACCCCAATAATTATCTTGATATCTCAGTAACTAGTACACTTAATCGTTTTTATGGACGTTGGTGGGTATCATTTTGAACATTTAAGTAAATAGGTATAGCTGTTTGAAATTATGAATTTATTAATTTAAAATTGAGTTTATTTTCTTGACATTACATTTAATAAAATTTCCTATTCGTGTTGCAAATTTTATTTTAATGTAGTTTTTCACATGGCCGGAAAACATAATCAGGACGTTTAGTTTTTAAAAGGTGTAACACTTTCAATAAAGTGATATTTTTTTACAAGAATAAAGTTAATTTCAAAAATAACATAAATGTCTGAATTCTCGAGCAAAACACCAGTCTGACAATGTGCCACACATGGTATATTCTCCATTTAAATTTACGATTGGGGTGCTCGAAGGAAGGGTGCACTTAAAAGATATCTATATCGGTAAAATATGACACCTAGAATAAAAATCGACACGTTTTAGCATTTGCACAAAATGCAATAAATATTATCAAATATCAGGGTCGACTCTTTTGAGTCACCAACACTGTATTATCAATAACTGCAGTCTTAACGTTAGTTAATTATGGTAACTACTGCTTATGATATGTTATATTATTAATAAACTGTGGTTTGGAAAACGCTAAAGTAGACAGATGTTTTGTATTTGGATACATCGTAAGACGTTAAGCAATTCATTCTTCGTCTGCTAGTGCCTATCCTCTATGGATGTTGGCTACAACAATGGTCCATCGTATTTTATTAGCAACTGTTCGAAATAGGTCTGTGGTAGTCATACTTGTCCACTATCCAAATTCTGAAGCCAGGATATTCGGCTGCGTCCTGGTCCTCTATTTTCTTCTATTTTCCCTTCTAATATAGATAGTACGATTCTGTATTTATTTTCATTTCTCACTATATGTCCAAAGTACGCTAACTTTCTCTCTATAATTAATTTTAAGACTTCAGGTTCTTTTTGTAAACGTTGCATTACTGCGTCGTAGCTATATGATGTACATATGATATTCTGAGCATACAACGATAGCACCACATCTCGAAAGACTGCAACCGTCTGCAAGACGCATCACTGAGTGTCCATGCCTCTGCTTTATACATAAGAACAAAAAACGCATAACAATTAAGGATTTTGAGTCGGAGATGTAAGTTCAAGGTTAAATTGCAGGAGAACTTTCTTCATCTGTTGGAAGGCACTCTTTGCTTTTTCCATCCTACATTTAGTCTCGTATGAGTGGTCCCAGCTGTCTGTGATGTTGTATCCTAGGTATGTTATTTTTTCTGTTCTATCCAATACCTTATTATCTGCCATAAAGAATAGTGTCGTCTACATATCTTAGATTATTTATTACTTCACTGTTAACAATCACGCCATCACTCGTTTCTCCAAAAGCTTCTTAAAATAGATGCTTGTAGAAGCAACTCATGGAAGATTCAAATCGGCACTTATTAAAGATTTTTTAATTACCGTCACATTTTGTTTATTCAGTTGTCATTGGTCTGCCGTGCCAGGATAAATCAGGTCTAAAATTTATTTAATTGATTTAAAATATAAATCAAGGTTTTTTTTTTTATAAAATACTTTATAAAAAAGCTTATATTTTGTTAAAAGCGAATAAATACATGTCAAAAATTACGTTGGATAAAATGGCAACCAGATCATTTGTCTTTTTCTGTTGCGCTTTTTAGGCAGACGATTGGTGATTCTTTCTGATGTTCTTTGCAGATCAAAGTATTTCAAAGGGAGCAATAGTCCCTTATCTTCTGTTCCTTTTTCAAGGCTATATGTAGCATCGAAAATTTCCTTTTCCTGTTTATGCAGAAGTCGAAGCTTCTTCCGAGTGTTCAGTTCCAAGTAAAAATACGCATTTTATCCTCAATTGTTTCGAAATGTTCGGAGTGCAAAATATCCTTCTAATCTGCGGATTTATCAGGTCCCGTACAATATTCAGATTTTGAGTTATTTATTTGGAATGCATTTATTTCTGCTTTATTTTAATATCAAAGAAAATAGTTCAGAGCCATCGCATACTGTTTCTACCGACATTAAAAGAACTACACATTTGATCTATAACATATATAATTATGTTGTACATACAACCTCGAACTTAAAATGATTGTAGTCCACTACCATTGTTGATTTGCCAATATAGTTGTCTATGCTGTCAAAAGATACAAGCATGCAGTCTTTAGGAAAGGCAAACTGACTCTTAAGTCTGGTCTTTCGGTGGTGTTTATTAATTCTATAGGTACCTCCCATTTATTTTTCCTTACTGTCTCGAGCATAGTTAAGGCCGTATGATACTATACATTTTCTTGTATCATTTCTTATATCGTTTCTGATATAGAAAGCTATTTATGTTTTCTTGTATCGTTTTCTTGCACGTACATTTTTGCCCTGTATGACACTATGCAAGTTCTTTTACCAGAAATTGTATGTGATTTGGCACATGATTGGTTGAAATTTTGACACCTATAAAAATAGAACTGCAATACCTGAGGATCCCAAGCTACTGGGGACTGAGGACAAATGCTGTTCATTATTTTTTAAAATACTGTGGTGCAAAAATGAAAGAAATAAAATGTCCCAATATTAAAACTAAATTGGAAACCACAAGTTTTAAAGATATTCAACAGGCTGTAATGGAAGACAGAAATAATAAATAATTTGGTTGTAATAATTTATTTGTTTTTTTTTTAATTATGTATTTGAATGCCATGCTCTTGAAATTCTACTCTCTTATTTGGAGATATAAAATAATCTTTAAACTCATTACTAATTTTTAGAGCGGTTATGTATTGTTTTTAGTAAAACATCTCCTACTTTCAGTAGTTCCGATGCTATTTGATCCAATCCCTGTGATTTATTGTTTTTCAATTTGACTACTGATGTTCTAATCTTGGTTATTGTTGGTGGGAACTTTTCTCTGATGTCTGCTTGGTCTAATTGTATATCTCCTCCAGCCGCCACTATGACAGAAGACAGAAGTTTTACGTTTTTGCGGCTTTGCGCACAAATTGGCGCATTTCTTGTACAAGAAAATGCAGCGGACACAAATTTTTGTATTGTTTCTGATATAAGAAACTATACGCTTGTATAACACTATCCATTTTTTTTGTTATATCAGAAACGATATAAGAAATGATACAAGAAAATGCATAGTGTCATACGGCCTTTAGATTGAATTTATTTTTTAGCTGTATTTATAGTGGGAAGCTAGAAAACCTATTTTCCACAATTATATTACGGTAGAAAAGACATTTTTATTCCAAGGTAACATACCCGAATGGAATACTGCTAAAACAATAGTAATAAACAAAAAAGGAGGCAACACAGACCTGAAAAATTATCAACCAATTATACTTCTTTTAGAACTTTACAAAACCTTTATAAAGATTATTACAAACAGGTTAACAATTAAATTTTACGGATATCAACCAGTCAATCAAGACAATTAGGATCAAGACAAAACAACAAAACAAGACAAAATATTACCATAAACGATCATAATTTTGAGGTGGTCAAAGAATTCAAATACCCAGGAGCAACAATTACCAGTGAAAACACAGGAGAACGGGAGGTTGAAATACGAATACTGGCGGGGAGTAAATCATTCTTTTCATTCAACATCTAATGAGGTCAAAGCTTCTCTCAAGGCGTGCCAAAATCCAAATGTACAAAACCATAGTACGACCAGCACTGACATATGGAAGTGAAACTTGGACATTCAGAAAGAAAGAAATCAATAAGCTATTAGTATGGGAACGCAAAATCCTGCGAATTATATATGGTCCTTGCAGGTACAGCGTGACATATGTTTGACTGAAGAAGCAGATACAACAATGAAATAGAGACACTCTTCGGGAAAGGAAACATCGTAAGCCAATAGATTAAGATGGGCAGGCCACGTGGTACGGGGTTTTTGGGAATATTTGGGAAAGACCAGATGGTAGAAGATTGACAGGAAGGCCTAGAAAAAGGTGAAAAGACGCAGTCAGGGAAGACCTGAAGAAGATGGAAGTAAGGCCATGGGAAATAATAGCACAGGATCGGAATCAATGGAAGGCAATAGTAAACGCGGCAAAAACTCACGAAGAGTTGTAAAAGCCGATGGTGATGATGATATCAACCAGTAGAACAAACCGGATTTAGAAAAGGGTACAGCAACTGTGACCATCTATATACTTTAAAAATCCTAATAGAAAAGACTAACAAGTACAATCTTTCATTATGTCTGGCTTTTATATAATATGAAAATGCTTTTAATAGCGTAGAACTGTGGGCAATAGAAGAAGCATTAGTCAACAACCGGATCGACTCCAGGTACAGAGTACTAATACATAATATTTACGAACAAGCTGAAATGATAGTGACATTGGGTAATTAAATCGAAACAAGACCAGTAAAAATCAACCGAGGAGTAAGACAAGGAGACACAATATCTCCAAAATTATTTACAGCTACCCTAGAAGA